ATCTGTTATCAGTAAATGCTGGAAGACATGCCTTAGTGAACCTGGCCAGGTCAGAGACACAGAGAGCAACGCGGACATTTAGTGATCAGGATAATTAGAGGAAGACTGAGGCTACAAAGTCAGGACTAGAGCCTTTTCTTCTAGATTTAACAAAATTCTTTTGAAAATATTATGAAGTGCCCAAGACTAGGGACTCGGGGCTTCACAAGGATGGGGATAAGGGAAGTAAACATTAAAGAGGGAATGCGGGAAAGCAGTTCCTTCCGGTGTTCTGGGAGCAAGAAACTTTCTGAAGGATGGAAGACGAGATAAGTGGCCTGGGCTTTTATAGGTTCCTGCAAGTGCTAGAGTACACATGGAAAACCTAGTTCAGGGTCATCTGCCCCAAGGGACAAATACTCAACTTGGACAGGCGGCCTGTGTCATCTCGCCACCTCCTGCACACACCCCTCTCCTAACACCCACCCTGATTTAAAGCGAAAATATTGAAAAACAATGCTGAGTGAAATTTTCCTGTTTCTAAGCAAGTGCCTTGCTTTCTCCTCCTTCCCCTCCTGCACTTTCCTGCCCCCCCCATTATCCGTCTCCCCGGTCTTTCTCAAGGGCTCCCTGATCTCTTGGTCTCCTATTCTCGTTCCAACCTTGGAGCAACCCTGCTGTCTCCTCTTCTGTGTCCTCCATCCCTGCTGTAATTCTTAATGAAATAAATTTCAGGAAGTCTACTGATTGGATCCATGACAAGTGCATAATTTATAGGAGCAGCTGGGCCCGTCACAGCACAGGACAATCCTTTCATTCTCTCTCCGTTTGCTCCTCGTCCACTTTCCACGTCCGTTCCACCTCAGCCCTCTTGCCTTCTCTTTCTTCTTTAGGGGACACTGGCTGTGAACTCCTCAGACCCTTTTCTCTATTTCTTTCTCCTATTTTCTTCCTGGGGAGCACAAGAGTTTCCTTATTTTCCTAAGGTATGTCTCAGGAGCTATCACATCTTACTTGCTATGCTTACAAGGATCTCTCAAAGGATGCCGTTAACTCCCAAACCAGGGTCTCAATGCCTCTTAACTGCGAAATCTTCACAGGCATCCTGACCATGGGTGCTCCCTTCTTTCACACAGTCACCCAAATTAGGTTTAGCATTTGTAGCGTTATGTGTATTTAATCTCACATCTCTTAGTCTCAAATGTAAAGTTGAGACACTTTATATTTTCTGTTTATCTGAAGTTTTTTTCTTCTTTTTATGCTTGTGGCCCTTGATTAGAATTTTTTCAAAGATCTTTCCATCCTCGATGACTGTTGGATTTTCTGTGATTTTTAGGGAAGGAGAAAGAACTGATTTCCTAATGATGCCTGTGAGAATCTCTGTAAATACAAGAAGAGCAGCCTTTTTGTTTATGAGTCTGAGGCTAAACAGATCTGACTTTCCCATGATTGCAAGTCCTTCTCAGATCTTATAGAAATTGTTGGCAATTTTTAAAAGTGTAAGTAGAGAAGTATAACATTTGGGAAGTGTCTTAAATACTCTTTGACTATCAGCATCTTTCAAGAGCTGACTCAAAATTTTCTCTCCTGATACAAGGCTCTGGGGATAACCCCTTGTATGCTCAACTGTAGAGATCACTAAAAGTTCATATTCCTATCAATGCCCTGCACTTGGGTGTACTGCATTATAGAATTAATGGTTAAATGTGTGGGCTTTGGGGATAGATGGCTAAGGTTTAATGACCAGTGTTACTGTGTGACCATGGAAAAGTTAGTTAACATCTCTGTGCCTTAGTTTCATCACTCATAAAATAAGAATACAATTGCCAGTTATCATCATAGTATATTTTTAAGGATTAAATATGATAATTCTTGTTGGATATGCACAGTGCTAAGTATACAAGAAAGGCTTATTATTATTGTTGTTATATGCTTTATTATGGTTAGTTATAATGTTCTTGGCATTTCCAGTTAAATCAGACAATCAGAGATTTGGCATTTATGTCATTTATCAAGTAGAAAACAAATTAATACAAAGCATTTAGGGAAGTCACTTACATTTATATACCATGTTTTTTTTCATACCTTTAAGGCATTTATAATTGGTATTCAAAGATCAATAAATACTGACATGTTATTGGGTCTTAGATTTTAATTTTATTCTTTCATTAAATCTAGTCCAATGTTTTACAAATACAAAGTTATCAACAAATAACTGAATACATGTATATTATTTCCATAAGGTACAATTTGGATTTAAAATATAACTTTGCTATATAATAAATGCATAGTTAAATATGCTGAATGTAACAGCAGTGTTTTCAAAATTGACCTTTTTAACATCATTAAAAAGAAGTCTGTGGTATACTCTGAACAACTATCTCCCCCAAATTCCAAGTACAACATCAAGTTTTCTGAATGTACTTAATGGTATTTGAACTAAGTGTACATTTCAAAACACTCACATTATGAATTAATGCATTTGCAAAGGACTTCTGAATGGTTACATACCTCTTATGTTGCAAATGAAAAATGCAAAGCGGTGAGGAGTTAGGACCTATTGCGTGTCAATGGAACTCTTAATGGTTTTCCTTGCTTCCTTCTCTCTCTTAATGGAACATCATCTCAGTACCATCCCAATCAAGCAATATGAAAATGTTAAGGCTCAGAATTATAGAATCACTTCATTTGGGAGACGAGTGAAAAATAAAAGATAATCAAATCCAACTCCTTTATTGGATAGATGAGAAAACAGAGGCCTGCAGCTTTTACTTCAATTAAGACATTTCAAAACAACATTCATGCCCTTTACTTGACTTACTCACTCTAGCTTTAGCATTTCTTTTCCTGCTGTTCAATTGACCACAATTCAAAATACTACTGTGTTCACAATACCTTATGTTTAAGTCTGGTCCTTTCTATACGTGTTTCTCTAAAGGACAATTTCGATCTTGTAGGCAATTTTTCTTCGTGTTACCAAAGCAGCTCTTGATTTTCCTGAGCACTTTTTAAAGAGAAAATTACCATGTAACATCTAGGACCAGAAAGAAATCTTTATGGTATGTGGTTTGCAGATTTTTCCTTTTTGGATTCTTTTTCCTCCAAGAGAAAAAGCCTTTGTAAATATTTCATATAAAACATTCCACTAATCAGTAAATGTCAAGAAGTGCTAGGTTACAGTCCTGTGTGGGCCCATTGAAATATGTCCCTGAACAGCTAATAATTCATTTACTTTGCAATTAAACTTAAATAGAGTTTTGAAATGTATTGGCTAAATTTTTGATGCAATCAAACCATGAAAACAAGTTTTAAAAAAACCCATAGTATTTAAGGAAGTCCCAGCTTATATTGTTAAGGCACTTACTAGAGATAATTGTGCCTAACCCCTTAAAAAACAGGATTGGTAATAAACCCCCAAACCATACCTTAACCACTCTGGGTTCTAATGTTCCTTTACATCTATTTTATATAAAGCATATTTAATATTCAAGTTATTCCTAAAACAATATTTTAAAATTACTTTTTATTGCAGCCTCTGATCATTAATGAAATGTACTGCACAGGAGAATTTGGGGAGCTTGTGTTGTCGGTAGGTGATAAGTATCAAGTTAAATTGTTTTGGGGCAACGTGTACTATAAACTAATATTTTTAGAGAACCCTTTTAGAAATTCTCAAGTTGACGTTACCAATGGTGTCTGTTTATTAGCATTTGGTTAATTGAGAACATCAATATTGAAAGAAAAAGCACGAAGCAGACTGGAAGGGCAGAAAGAGATGATCCTCACCCCTCTCCCAGCACTCTCTCTCGCCTTTTAAAGCTGGGGTTCTCTTGGACTAGCAGGTTCCTGCTTGTGCCAGGAATCTGGTCTCCTTGCAGAGGCGCACAGCAAAGCCAGGGCGTTCCCAGCGGGGCACGGCTGCCAGCTTGGAACTTGCAAACACCTGGCGTAGTTCGGGAGGGCCCTAGAGACTTCTGCCTCCGACGAGTGGGCTTAAAACTGTAGGCAGGAGGCTCTGAGCGGTCAGAAGGGTTTCCTGTGTGTCAGCAACTTCACTTTGCCGAGACAGTGGCGGAAGAGCGAAGGCAGCCCTCGCTGCCAAACGTTCCCCCGCAGCCAACCCTGACCCGGCGCGCCCCTAGTCCTCGCCGCGGACTTGTAGCAGCGGCGAGGCTGCAGTTGAGCGCGCCGGCCACAGTAGAGACTGGATTCCCAGAAAACGCCTTGGGTTCGGGGCGAAGCGCGGGCAGAGCGCGGGCTGGCAGCCGGGCGGGCAGGGGCGGCGGCAGGGGTGGGGGTGGGGGTGGGGGTGGGGGTGGGGGTGGGGGTGGGGGGGAGACACGCCCCTCGCCTCCCGCGGAGCGCCCGGGTGCCCAAACTCCGCCCACCCTCCCCGGGAGCCGGGCTCTCCGCCTGCCCCCAGCACTCCGGACCCTGCAGGGCCTCCAGAAGAGCCCCGAGCAGTGCTGAAGGCGAACAGACGCGGTCCCAAAGCGCACAGGTCTGCAGCCACGCGGAAGCCGCGCGGACCCCGGGGTCGAGCTGTTTGCTTGCAAGGTTGCGAGAAGGAAGATGCCCAAACGAAGTTGATCTTCGGGAGAAGGAGGCTGGGGAACTCCGTCCCAATGCCGGAGCGCAACACGTGAGTTTGGCTGGACCTCGCTGAGCCTCCGGCGAGGACTAGCCACCCCTCGGGAAAGCGCAGTCGGAAAGTTGTGGGAGGCTGGCGGTGCCCTGCGCTCCCCGTTGTGTAATTTAGGCGCTGCCAGCCCGCCTGGGAAGTTGCTGGCCTGCCCGCCAGCCTGGTTCGGTCCTGGTCCCGGGCGGATTTCATGGCCCTCCGCGAACGTGGAGCCGGAGCCAGCGTGGGCGAGCCCCAGCGCGCCCCCTCCCGCGGGGATCCCGGGTGCCCGCTCCCTTCCGTTCGCCCGCTTTTCCGATGCTCGCAGCTCCCTTCGCCGCCGCCGCCCTCACGCCGCCGCTTGTCCCTTGGAGCAGCCGCCTAAGTCCGGGAGGACAGAATGACCGAGGTGCTGTGGTCGGCTGTCCCCAACGGGACGGACGCTGTCTTTGTGCCCGGCCTGGGCTCTCCCTGGGGAAACAGCACAGTCGCCTCCGTCACCTCCCCGTACACATGCTCGCTGACCAAGACGGGCTTCCAGTTCTACTACCTGCCGGCTGTCTACATTTTGGTGTTCATCATCGGCTTCCTGGGCAACAGCGTGGCCATCTGGATGTTCGTCTTCCACATGAAGCCGTGGAGCGGCATCTCCGTGTACATGTTCAACTTGGCCTTGGCCGACTTCTTGTACGTACTGACTCTGCCCGCGCTCATCTTCTACTACTTTAATAAGACAGACTGGATCTTCGGAGATGTCATGTGTAAGCTGCAGAGGTTCATCTTCCATGTGAACCTCTATGGCAGCATCTTGTTCCTAACCTGCATCAGCGTGCACCGCTACAGCGGCGTGGTGTATCCGCTCAAGTCCCTGGGCAGGCTCAAGAAGAAGAACGCCGTCTACATCAGCGTGCTGGTGTGGCTCGTCGTGGTCTTGGGGATCTCCCCCATCCTCTTCTACACCGGCACCCAGGTCCGGAAAAACAAAACCACCACCTGCTATGACACCACCACAGACGAGTACCTGCGAAGCTATTTCATCTACAGCATGTGCACGACCGTGGCCATGTTCTGTGTGCCCTTGGTGCTGATTCTGGGCTGTTATGGATTAATTGTGAAAGCTTTGATTTACAATGACCTGGACAACTCACCTCTGAGGAGGAAATCGATTTACCTGGTGATTATTGTACTGACTGTCTTTGGTGTGTCTTATATCCCTTTCCATGTAATGAAAACGATGAATTTGAGGGCCCGGCTGGATTTCCAGACCCCAGAAATGTGTGCTTTCAATGACAGGGTTTATGCTACTTATCAGGTGACAAGAGGTCTAGCAAGTCTCAACAGCTGTGTGGATCCCATTCTCTATTTCTTGGCAGGAGATACTTTCAGAAGGAGGCTCTCCCGAGCGACCAGGAAAGCCTCCAGAAGAAGTGAGGCAAATTTGCAGTCCAAGAGTGAAGACATGACCCTCAATATTTTATCCGAGTTCAAGCAGAATGGAGATACAAGCTTGTGAAGAAGCAAGAATCCCCAAACACCCACTGTTGTGACATGGTAGGATGCTGAATAGAGCCATGTGTTCCCCCCCACCCCCTTTAAGTTTTTAAAAGTTTAGAGAAAAATCCAACCAAGAAGTTAGTGAGTTAAAAGAAGAATAGAACTGGAAATATCCACACACACACTTAAGTTTGTTTGGGTTTGCTCTCAAGACCTCCCTTCTTTCTCACCAGAAGTATGTATAATAAAATAATTCTTCTCTAGTTAAATATTTACCTTCTCTTCTGCCTTTAAAATTTACAAGCGTTTCTGTGTAAAGTGCACTTGAGTGTTGGAGCAGTTTTGCTATTAATAATTTCTCCAAGCGAATTGACCACCTGAAACTGAAGTTTACGATTCATCTGGTCTTTAATGTTTTTAATAATCCTTGGGGTGACCAAATTGAAGCTCCGCATTCTTAAAGTTAGCAGAGCATATAGCAAAGTACTAAGTTCCATTCATTCAGTATCAGGGGAACAGAGATCTTAGCTGGGGTCATTTGTGGTCCTATTAGTATGGGTGGGAACTGATTTGAGTTTCTTGAAGACTTGAATAGAAAAGGAAAGCCAATGAATCTAAAAGCCTCAAAGGTGACTGTCCAGTTACTTCTGGCAAACTACTCACTCTATGTTGGATGCTAAGTGTTTGATGATGGAAGCCCGCATATATTATCCATAGGTAAAATGCATTCAAAACCATCAAAGTGCTTGTCCTTTCCTTGTAAACAACACGCACTCCGTTAGACTTCCTGTGACAAAGAGCATTGACTTGCATCACTGCTGCTGGAGTTTGTTTGTGTTCCAGTGCAGATGCTCACTCACATCTGTGAAAACAGTTCTGAAAAATCACAGATCAATTATAGGCTAAAGCCGAATAACTGTCAGCAAGTTGAGGGTGTTGGGCAGGAGGATGGTGTTATCAGAGGGAGAGTGGTTACAGCTGGTCACAACGCATACTCCAGAAGCACAGTCTAAAACGTACGAGGCAACAGGGAGTGGGGAGAAGACATTTTTAGATTCAGGACTTTAAATTAAAATCATGGTGTAAAGGTGCTTTTTGCTTCTTTGAAATGATGGAGAACATTAAATGCAATGAAAAGAAGGTGGAATTTGTGAAGGTTGTGTTGGTAGAGAAGCTACAATCCTTTATTAGATCTTATATCCTCACATTTAAAGGGAAAAATTGAAATATGTGAGAAAGGGATACAAGGATAATCACATTTTAAGTACCTAAGGCACCCCAACAGTGAAAAGTAAGTTGTACAAACTACTCCATCACACTGTTAGTAGTTTGTAAGAGGACCACTGGGCAGGGTTTCTCTTCTAGGTTTTTCTCTGCCAAGCAAAAATGAGAAATATGTAAAATATTTCAATGTTTTAATAACATTTTAATGAGTATTGAATTGCTGCATTTCTAGCCCTTAAAACTTTAAATTCTATGTGATGTAGAATAATGAGATGAGGCAACCCAACTTACAGCTCCAAACAAATAAATCCGGTGTCAAAAGGATGTTTAATTGTGAAAACCTCAATGAAGCCAACATCAGAGTCTGCCACTTGTGGTGGAATAACTCGTTTGAAAACGCTTTATAAATAAAATAATTGGGGGTTGTGTCTTAAGGCAAGAACCTGTGGGGCACAGTGACAGGTAAGGCAGAAATTTATTTCAGTTTGTGCAATACCTGGATAGATGGTGGGTTTTTGAGACCTTCAGTTTCTTCTTAGAATTACTTAAGAGTATCCAGTCTCAGGCCACTAAGACCAATGAAGAAAAACTGTGTTTAGCTTTCTAAAAAGTGGTTCTTTTTCTACATGTTCACTATTAATGCACAGAATTAGTATAGAAGAAACATTTTAAATGTCTCACTTACACCTACTCATTTTGAGGAAAGAGAAGGCTTAACTAGGTTCTCAGTTGGTTAGGGTCCTACAGGATTGTCTGCTGTGGAATACTCAAGGAAGAAATCTAAAATATGTTATCACCATCTTGTCCCTGCCATGTGTCATGTTCAGTGAGACAAGTTTAATATCACTAAATTGAACAAAATGGAAATTTCAAAGCGATCCTTAAACTCAAAGGCTAATGGAACACATTTCTGTAGTATTTCCTCATCATTTACTCCAGTTTTCTTCCTTTTAGGTCTCAGAATGCCCAGCCTGATTTTACAGTCTGTGTTAAGGACAACTGTTTCAGCTACCAGAGAACTTCTTAGGGAGTGTGGATCCACTGAGGAGGTGGACAGTGACTAGAAATGCCCTTTTACTTCTTGACATGTTTTTTTTTCCAGAGTGGTTCTTCTTTAGCTTCGTACATCACTGAGTAGACAATAGTGACATGTGGATGCATGTCAAATAGAAACAAGAATGATCTCACTGACTCCTTGCAGGCCAAAAAGCTCTCTGGGAAGCGTCTGTGTTCACGGTGAAAACATAAAGAGGGTCAGGATGAAGCAGTGATCTTAAAATCTGATTCTTGACATGTGATGATATTATTAACTATTTTAATGAAAACAGAAGAAGTCTGTTGGCATTTTGATGAAAGAGCTGCTGAAATCATAGGATTTATCAGTTAACTAAATTTCACAATACAAAACTATTTTAATGCCAAGTTCAAGGTGTTTTTTGACACACAAAGTACATGTTTGACACTTTGAACATCGACATGTTTGCATTGCAATGGTGAAAAGGACAAACCAAGAAGAAGTACAGTATGAGTAGAATTCAGAGTTAAAACCATGACACTGCCACTCGGCCAGCTTTGGAACTGTGACCCTTTCAAGACCATTGTTTGTATTTTAAAAGGTTGGATAACATCTAGCTGTTGGGGCCTTGGGGGATGTGGAAACATTAGAACCACAGACAGCCAGAGGTGCATAAAATCTGCTGCTGTACTTTGCAGGACTCTTCAATTCCAGTCCTTGGCTAAAGATTCTCATGAAATCCACCCATTGTGATGTGGACCTACGACTTGTAAATTTTCTCAGTCCCCTTCTCAGTCCCCTTCAGCAGTACCCTCATCTGCCTTTGGATACAAAAGAGGTCAGTGTTGAGAGCAGCTGGAATCCAACTGGCGACAACAGAGACATGTAACTAGTTAGAGATCTATTGAAGCTTTAACTTTGCTGGTCACATTGTGGCTGTCATAATAGTATTTATTAATGAAGCTTACAGTTCTTCAGTTGCACAGATTGAAAGACTTTCTTGAAAGGTCCAATATACTGATGTAAATTCTATTTATTACAGTGTATAATGTTAACGTCCCAGTGGTATATTTTACATAATATATGATGCATAGATAAGATGAGTTATTGTAAATTATGATGCTTTTCAAAAATTAGTATCTTGAAATGTTTGTCTTCAGATTTTTTGACCTAAAGTATGAAAATCTGTGATACAAGTGGTTAATTTTTTCCAGAAATGCTTTTGCACGTTTTTCTTTTTATTTAAAGTTCTTTCTATACAGACAGAATTTGTTGTCAAACTATCATAAGATCAATTGCAAGTACAACACATCTGTGTCTGTATTGTCTACATTTTATATAATGTTATAGAAAAGTTTATATTGCCTTTTAAGAACATTTAGAATTGTGCCCGCAAATATGATCAGAGTTTTTATTTCCAAATGCAATATACTTGTCTTAAATTCAAAACAGAGCTCTTACATGTTAGATGTCTGGTGGGATGGGCATGATCAATGTCACATTAGAATTTAAAGAAAAACTTTAGGGAGATGGGGAGAGAAAGAGGCAGCTGGTGTAATCAGTGACCGTGTTCAGTTCTTCTTAAATTTTTGCGCCGTATTTCTTTTTAAGGTGAAATAGTATAATCTTAATTGCTTTAAGGTGGAGTTTCTAAGTAACACACTACCAGCAAGTTTAACACTGCTATTAATTTTAAACTGATTGTTCAGTTGATAACTTTAATTCCAAGTTTAATAGTGATGACTGTATTATTGTATATTTGGCTGCTGAATTCTGTTACATTTTTTATTCTGTTGTACATTGTATTATATACATAATGACAAATTAATATGAAGGGGAATATATGTGACATATCAAAATTTGTGAATTTGAATTCTAGTATGTTTCAGTGCTTTTGCAAAAATGTTTATTTTTATATTATCTGTGATTTAATGTAGATAATTCACTAGGTTTCCTTGTGATCATTAGTGCCATTAAATGAGCGGTATGGAAACAGTATTACTTGACATTTTGTGCTTTCTCAGGTTTATCTAAATCAGTGGTAGCTTAACAGATTCCCAACTAATTGTGCACAATTGTTTTATTCAAAAGGAATGTACATTTCCTATATGTTTGCATGCAGGAGTGTACAATACCGTGTGTGTGTGTCCAAGGCATGGCGGCCGACTTTGCATCTGCTATTCGTAATAACAGCAGAGCCTGCATATAATCGCAGTCACTAGAACTGTACCTACAATAGACAACTACAACTAAAAAGTCTCAATAAAACTATGAAATGTGGTCTGATGACTTCTATGTTATTATGCTATGAATACTCACTAGTTTCCCCAGACTTGGACGTATACCGTGTAACACCTAGCAAATACTGCCGGGTGTGTAGAGTTAATGCACACATTTCCTAAGGCGTAGGCTGCCCTGTGAAATACTGAAGTGTTAGAGAGCAAATTCTGGCCTGTGATAATTGATACAATTGTCATGATTTGATATTATTGATAGGAATGTGACCTAATTCTTTGAGGAACATACTCAATGCAACCTTAATCCATATTTCTCATACTAGTGTTCTATATTTAAAATGTTAGCTGTCATCTTCTCTCTAATTTATAATCTATGCAGGTAATCTTACTAATAAGAATCTTTTGCAGTTTCTGATTATTAGTGTACCTCACCTCCTTCTTTCAAGTTTATTAAAAAATACATATCAGGTGCTGTGCAGTGAAAATGCGTATGGTGGAATGAGAGCACGCTTACAGTGCTGCTGCTTTCCTCCTCGGTGTCAGAAGGTAAGTGCCGGTGGCCCTGCACTGGGTGTCTGCTGGTTCTGGTGGCCCTGTTCTGGTTGTCTGCTGACAGGTGCCCAGTCATAGACTCCTGTGAATGGACAAGTGCAAATCTCTTGCAGTCTTTGAAATATTTCTAATTCAGTTTTAACTTCTCAAGTAGCTGTACTACCCAGAACTTCACCACCTGGGAGTCCTCATTTATTAACATCAACTTTGGTAGAGTTTTGTGGGTGTGTATGCATGTATATGTGTGTGCATTTATTTAGTGCACACAGATAACTTGTATGGATAGTTATCTCTCCAACTTAAGAGAATTTACAATAAAGCTTTGAGCTCCTTTTTGGCTTCAAAACCATTTTGGGATTGGAGTTCAGAGACCCTTCTCTCTCCACAAGTAAGTATACTGCCGTTAAATTCTCTTTTACATTAATGGACTAGTAAATAAGTTTATACTCTCTTTGCAAGAAGTTTAGAATTTTGCCCCTGAATATGATCAGAGTTTCCATTTCCCAATGCAAAAAGCTTTTCCTAAATTCAAAGTAAGATCTGTTACGATGTAGAAGCCTGACTGTATGGGGCGTTAAAGACAAAACAGATGTGAGTGGAAATCCATGTTAATGTTAATAGGCTGCTTACTTGCTTGCTTACATTAAGCTTCCAAGGTAGTGGTAGTGGTAGTGCTTTAAGGTAGATCCTGGGCACTGGCATCCCCAGCCAGCATTGCCCCGGGACTGAGATGTGATGGTCTGAACAAAGCTGTGGATGGACACAAGGCATCGGGGCTGAGCAGCCGGCAAGGCTGCAGCCCCTTGGAAACAGACATGGTTGTGGAGGCAATCAGCACTGCCAGAGGGGGAAAATGTGCTGCCCTTCCTGATTCCCTAACAAGAAATCACCTGCACGAAGGTAGAAAATCCTTGATGATAGATTTAAACAGAAAGAGGCCTTGGCAATGATCCAATCCCACCACCTCGGTGTGCTGGCAAGAGCCCAGTTTTCACATTCACAGGTGGAGTGAGCAAAAGACTCGGGGTGTTCACTCCTATGAAAACATTCCTCGCACATCCCAGGGCTCTTCAAATGGTGGGTTTTGACCCATTAGTGTGTCAGGAAATGAGTATAGTGGGTTATGATCAGCACTCTAACAGAACAAACAGAATAGGAGAGATCAGACTCCATAACTCAGTGAGTAAGATTTGTGGCTTTAATTTCAGATGTACACACACACACACAACACAACACATTTAAGAACTTGTATCTTGGGTCTCAGTGGACTTCTGATTTCTTACAAAGAACCTGGTCAAAAAAGTTCAAAAACTATACGACACTTTTTCCAGAGAAATCATTAAAGCAATATTAAGCCTACATCTAGAATGGTTATTTGTAATTAAAGATGGTATAACCAGCATTCAAATTTATGTAGATTTGGGTAACTTAACCCTTCATATTATTTCATCTTGTTTAAGCAATTAAAAGCAAAACAGCAAATGTTCATTATATTTAAGAGCATTGATTTTGGAGCCTCGGTTTTGAACCCACCTCTTCCACATATAACTTGTGTACCCTGGGCAAATTATTTAAGTCCTCTTGGCTGTGGGTTCCTAAACTATAAAATGGGCATGATAACTTGCAGCTCATAGGATGCTGGAAGAGTCAATGAATTGAAACATGCAGAGCACCTGCCATATAATACACACTGAATAAATGGTGGCTATATACCATTCTTGAGGTTGCTAAGGATGTTACCAATTCACGTACTGCTTTGTTGTTATTCTTTCTGTTTCTATTGATATTAATATTTCTATTGTCTTTCATGCCATGGAAGCTTTGTGGGTCTCCTGGAAACTCACATTGTGTGATTAAGAGTTTCCTAGAAATTCTCATAGTGGGATTGAAGGCATTTAACATTGTTCTTTTGGACACTCCATTGAATGTCTGAGGTCAGATAATGAACAAGTCTTCAACTCTGATGCTTTGCACTGTGATATGTACTCTGTGGGGCAAAGATATGTAAGGCAAAGTGTGCAGCTAAAAATATATCCAGAGGAAGAGTCTGCTGACCTCCTTAGCTGGGCCTCACCTCTCAGGTTCATGGTCTATTTTCAATCACCACAGTCCAGAGGCTGGTCTTCAGTTCTGCAGATCCAGAAACTTGATCTCTCAACAGTTCACCTAGAGTTCACCAACTCTGGGGCACTGACTCACACCAAGTGAACTGACAAGAGAATCATTTACCTGATAGAATGCCACTTCATGGGTACATAACAGCTATATCCCAATCTCAATAACAGACATTTGCCTTTTTCTTCAGTCTAAATATGGATGAGAAATTTGCCTTCAGAGCTTAAAATAAGAACAAGGAAAGGTGATTTTTTTGAGAAGCATTTCCAGTAAGTAGAAGAGCTGAAAGAATGGCCTACCCCTAGAGACACTGGTCATAATAACCAGCATCTATCCTGTTCTTGAAAAAGTTCTGCCTGCCTGGGACAGCTCAATAGCACAGAGATGGAACTTTTCACATTTGCTTATTTTCTTTTCAAATCAGTCCTGCCATCATTAACTTCTTTGCTCACAAATTACGTTTTAGTAATGTCTCCCAGTGGTGGGAGTGGCAGGAGGGTGGGGGGCAGAGAAGGCTGCAACACTTGCTAAGTTGGAGATACGTACTTAAAAGACATGTAGTTGGAAACAGGACAGTATGGCACCACAGAGCTCGGAAATGCCATTCCAGAGTTCAGGACAGAGATATAGGGTGAGACAGAAGTTCGGGAGTTGTTCATGTACAAATGGCAGCTGTGGGGGAGGGGCTGGACCTTAGGCAACAACAACATTGGGGTGGACAGAAAAGAGTAGTGAGCAGGAAGAATTGGAGTCATACAAGATTCCAGATGGCCTTCTGAAGAAATCAGAGAGTTTTTAGGGAACAAAACTGTCACTCTTTTCAGAGAGGGCCATAAAGAGTCTGTTGCATATAGAAATTAGAAAGTATTGGTGTTTAATTGAGATCAGTATTAAACCATAACAGTAGTCATGGTTACTGATCACTGAATAAGTGAAAAACATATAGAGAAGAGAAGCAAAGAGAGAACTCCTAAGATTGTTGCTCTAAGCAAGATGTTCAAAGAATGGTGGTGCTGGTAAAGTCAGGGGCAGAGCAGAGTTTTTTTGTAGGAAGGAATAACCAGCTGTGGGGTCTGAATACAATGGAGGACAGGAGAAAAAAGTCAGAGATGACTGAGATCCTGTCTGGAGAATATGTAATAACAGTAGTGACCTTGACAGATATAGAATATTGGGAAAAGAAGCAGGAGAGTACAGAAAAGCATGAAGATAGTATAAAACTCATCCTGTGCAAGAAATATAATATCACTCCATTTATTTTTCTATACTTCAATTTTATGAGTCTCTCTTTGGCTAATCTGGAAGAGATTTAATTTAACTTTGTTCAGCCCCCGTGCCCTCCTCCTTGAGGTTGTGAGTTAGCCACATAAAGGAGTGGAGTTGTTGACATGAGGGCTTCTGTTCACATTGTCATCTGTTACCACTGGCACTCATGAGGCAGCCTGTGTCTGTGCAGTGTCCTGCCGAGTCACCCCTTGTTTTCATTCACAAGAGCCCCTCATTCGTGGCTCTCTGAGCAGATGCCATGCCCTTCTCGGGATAACTTCATCTCACTCCTGGGCATGAGGCAGGCAGGGGCCTCCTGTGAGCTCCCCCAGCCATCCCTTAGAGATGCCATAAAGCAGTTCCTATTCAGGAGTTTATCAGGTAAAAAAAAAAAAAATATATATATATATATATATATATATACACACACACTAATCTTTGAACATCAAAAAAAGGACACAGTAAAGAAGTATGTGTAGAAAGAATAGATTTTTCTTCTTTTGAGTTTTCTAAAGTATGTTTGATGCTTGAAGCAAAAATTGTCATGCTGTTTGATTTGGTTTTAAATATATGCAGAGAAAATAAGGTGAACTCTTTATAGATGGTGGAAGTTAAAGAGACATAAAGGGAGGTAGGGTTTCTACACATCCCTTGAAGTGGTAAAATGATGACAATATAAATGGGAAAAGTTATGCTCACTTAATGTAACAGCTAGAACTATGACTAAAAAGTGGTTATGCAAAGAGATGCACTCAAAAACAATATAGATGAAGCAAAATAGAATTCTGCAAAATATTCAAGGAACTCATAGAAAGGAGAGAAAAATAAATAAATTATAGACACCAAAAACAGAGGGAATAAACAGAAAAAAAAATAAAATGGTAAATTTAAACATTAAATATAAATACATCAAGTAAAGCACACAGTTTGAAAGACTATTTTAAAAAGATTTTATTTATTCATTTTTAGAAAGAGAGGAAGGGAAGAAGAAAGAGAGGGAAACATCAACGTGTGGTTGCCTCTTGAGTGCCCCATACTGGAGACCTGGCCTGCAACCCAGGCATGTGCCCTGACTGGGAACTGAAC